ATTTGGACTAATTTTTTCAACAGGTTTGGTATGTTAAATTCTTAATGTGAATCAAATCTCTTTAGTGTAGCCCCCATTAAAGGTACCGCCGATTGCCGAAAATTTGTAATATTGGCCAATTTTTGGCTCATCCTAAATTTTGATATATTTTTGCTTTGAACACATTTTACAACAAATTTGGTTGTAATTCGATATTTTGTAATTTGGTATTTTGGGTTCTCATTTAATATCGCATATCCGTACCAAATATGATTAATATTGACCCAAGTTTCAGGTTAGCCCCATATAACAGTACCTTCCATTATTCGGTATTTTGGGGACCCCAGTCATGGCGTACAAAAGCTTGTACTAAAGTAATCAGCAACTAAGACCAGGAAGAACCACATCCGTACAAACAAATAATAGAGAATATATCCGATTTTAAGATTTGCTTCGTATGCGTTGAGATTCACAATAATCGCGTGGAAAATTGTCTGTATAAGGTCCACTTTTTGGTATATCCCCTATAATATAGTCCCGCCCATTATTCATTACATCAGATGTCTCGACAGTATAATATAGTTCCTCGTGGAGTGTGTAACTTCATTGCAAATAAATGTCAATACCATATTGGAAATTTTTCGAAATTGTTGTCATCAATAGTGGCTGCAATTTATTATCTTTGGTCTTCAATAGTTTGCAAGATATCATCGGAACATATTGTTTGCATAGGTTCGCGTATGTGTGATATCGTCTATAAAAAGAGTTCCATGTGGGGTTCCAATTTGCATTTCAAGTAATTGTCAGTATAGCTGTGGTGGAGGGTATCTAAAGTTACTTAACGCTTTTTTCACTTGTTTAATATTACACTACTAGGACTAAAAATGCCAGTACCTGATCGCAGGTCGAAATTTAATTTATGTTATTCTCCACCACCGAGCACATACCCTGATGATTTTGCTTAAAGATTTGTAAAACTAGGGCGATTAGAATCAGGGCGTTTCTGTGCATAATTCATTCAATACAATTTTTTTTTAGCTATTTGATGATATATCTTATATAACTAGAAGTAATATCTGTGACATTGGACGCAGTGTTTAATTGCAATGCCAAATTAATAAGGATACGATATTTTCACAAACCCCTGTCCCTCTATCATATTTTGATGATTTTTTTATCTTTTATTAGAACAATATTATATAAAAACATCACGCCTGAAATCATTTGGGCATTTCTTTATGCGAATTTATAAGAATTGTTGACAAATGCTTAAGTCATTGAATATCATTTCAAGACTGATTTGGCGTGACCTTTTTAATATAAAAAAATCTTATTTTAGTCATTAATCGGCAAAAGTTCATCCATTCCTGCTACAGCAAATCATTTGTGTAAAAAAGTTATAACCAAAAGTCGGAACCATTCTAATATATCCAGGAATGTTCTTTCGTTCTTCTTCTTCCCTATCATTCGTTGTACGGACGTAATGTTAATTTCGTGTTGCATGCACCTGTAGATTGTTAGCCGAGAGTAATTGTGTTTTGTATGTTTCGTTGTTCGTTTGTTAGTATTCATGTGAAATGAAAGAATTATTACAAAAAAAAAAAAACACCACACACACAGTGTGTATAACCGCAAACACGTTACACCAACAAGACTACTAAACATATTGCAAATAACAACAAAAATAACCACAATGGAGTGGGCGTTGTAGGGATAGGAGTAACAACTTAAGCTTGTTTTTTTGTCTTTTTGTTATTGTTGGAGTTATTGTATCAGAAACAAACAATGAAGAAAATACTTACTTTCACATCCTGGTAGGTGTGCTTTTGTTGTAGTCCTTCAGCGACAATCCCCTGGTTTAGTATGCTGTTATTTATATGAATATTTATGTAGGTGTGTGTATGTGTGTTGTGTATTCATATAGGTCGTTTGTTTTTGTTCTCGTCCTTTTTTTCACATATCGTATAACGGAAATGTAACAATACCGTTTTCCTCCTTTAGATTCGACGGAGCGAAGGAAACGGAAATTGTTTTCTTCGAGTAATGTTTATGTTTATTATTTAGATAAATATTTAATAAAAATTATGTTCTGTTTTTCTTGTTTCCTTCATTTCTGAAAGGTTCTGGTTTTTTACAGCGTTCAGTGGATGCTAAAGGAAATTTTTAAAACTTGGTAAAATTTTTGTGTTAGTTGGATATAGAGGGGTGTGTTGGAATTACGAGTGTTTTTAATTTGTTAAGTATTATTTGTTTGTTTGCTAAAAATATCTGTTGTTAAACCCTGTTTTAGTTCTTCTAGATTAATTCTTCTTGGCAATGTGACAGGCAAATATTCCAATATATGCAATATTATAAAAACCGAATTCTGAAATGAAATTTGTATACCCTCAGTCTTATGGCAAAGTTCGAAGATGGAGAATATCGTTCCACTCTTTCTAGTAACTCCCCCACAAAATGGCCAAAATTGTACAATCAATTAATTTTGTAATATCATGCGATAATTATTTGAAACAAACATTGTACTAAGCCCAGATCGAGTAGGAAGATGGAAATGGGAACATGGAATGTTCGATTTGAACCAAATCTTGTACAACCTATTATCTTTAGCAAGCCTAAATGAAGTCCGAAGATGGGACCCATAGATCCATTTATTCTGTTACCTCAGCCAAATGGTCAAAATTTCCAATATTTATAAATACACTATTGGGCGATTCTATTATCTTTACAAATTAATTAAAAATACAAATTAAAAAAAAAAATTGCCACTCCGTTAGTGTATTGAAAAATGACAACAACATTGGACACATTAAATTTACAATGCATATTTTAATTTATGACATTTGGTCAAATCATTGTATCACAAATACACAAACGCCTCCTCTCATGCACATCACACACACATGCGTACGAAAATGACTTCGACTGATTTGTGTGAAATCGTATTTGTGAAAATTGCATTTGTTGAGGATAATTTCATTGGAGGACAAAACTGTGTGATGGAGGGAGGGTGTTCGGTGGACGATCGACGACGGAATACTATCACGTTGCCCCAATCAATTATGTTGACAAACATTTCTGTTGACATATTTCAAAATTACCAAACATAAATTGGTTGCTAACTAAATAATATTTTGACATTTTGTATACAAATTGCCTGACAGGCTGTTTGTTGCCGTGTGCGTTTGTGTCTGTGTTTTATTAGCATTTGCGATTCATATCGAAGTGTGTGAGATATCTAAAACAGATAGCGAGATTAATATATATTTGAACGAGATGTATGGATAGAGATAACATATCATTGATTGGATATACAGTGAGTGTAAAAAGTATTTTGCCTCAATAAAAATTTGAAAAAATTCCAATATATACGTCTGAAGCCAACAAACTAAAGATGTAAAATGACTTATGTATGATGGGGTATATTTGTGGACATATTTAGATCGTATTTCAGCAAGAATCACAGCGAAAGACCTATTGGTCTCGACGATATCGGCCGAAATATATAATAACCCAAAAATGTTTATCACAAAAAAGTATTTTGCTTTTTATTATAATTTTAGAAAAAATTGTTACATTGAACACGTTTGGTCTTTTTATAGTTACAATTGCGGTTAACCACATACTATAAGCGATTTGACCACGATTCCATTACATCACGGCATTTTTTCGTGGGTATTTTCTCACATTTACATTCAATACACTCTCCATCAGTATTTCATTTAATATTTGGTATTTTCTCGTCCTAATCTTAAGATGAGAGTATTAAACATAGCCATTGCGGCTTCAAAACATCCCAAATATGTTTAGAATAATAAAGAAGAGGTTTTGCCAAATATAACGCGAGGACAGAACCTTAAAAACTATAAAAACCAAAATCCAACAAACAAATTATTTAAAAAAATTCGCGAAACCCAATTTTTCTGACTTCGAAATTTGTATGGTCCAGTAATATTGATCTAGGAACCAATATATGCAATAGAAATACCAATAAGGGGGTCAGATTCAAAGATATGGACAGTTCTAAAACGATAGTAATAAACAACAATACATGAAGTTGGGAGAAAACATCATTATTCGTCAAATCCTATTGTCTTTTGAAAAACTGTGGTTGCTGGTAGCGAATACGCATTCTATATTTTATCTCCGATTAACACCATCAGTTGCGAATAAAATGCAGTAGGGAATAAACGGGTCGATGTATTCATTTTCGAAATAAGATGTATTTCTATTGCCAGAAAACCGTCCATATATTTTGTAAAACCTCCTTTTTATTATTCTTAACATATTTGGAATGTTTTGAAGCCGCGACGACTATATTTAATTCTCTGATTTTGAGATTAGGACGAGAAATTACCAAATATTAAATGAAATATTGCTGGAGAGTGTATTGAACGTAAATATAAGAAAATACTCGCGAAAATATGCCGTGGTTTATTAGAATCGTTGCCAAATCACTTATAGTATGTCGTTACCCGCAATGGTAACTATAAAAAGACCAAACGTGTCCTATATAAAATTTTTTTCTAAAATAATAATAAAAAGCAAAATACTTTTTTGTGATAAACATTTTTGGGTTGTTATATATTTCAGCCGATATCTTCGAGACCAATAGGTCTTTCGCTGTGATTCTTGCAGAAATACGATCTAAATATGTCCACAAACGTACTCAATCATATATAATTCATTTTACATCTTTAGTTTGCTGGCTTTAGGCGTATATATTGTAAAATGTTCATATTTTTATTGAGGCAAAATACTTATTACACTCACTGCATGTACGTACTTATATACAAATTGTATTCGAATTAAACGTTCGGAAAAATTATACGAGCTTTTAAAAAAGTATAATAGTTTGAATTTTTCTATATCATTTCTATATACACCAACATTAGAGCTGTTAAGCTATATTGTGGACTATAGAAAAAAACTTAAATATGTTAATAAATACCAACATAACATTCTCCATTCTACCCAAAATATAATTCTTCTATTAAGTTGTATTTCTTTTCTTACAATTACAGGATCGCAGCAATGCTCAATCTTCATGTGCTGGGTTGTTCGTAGGTGCTAACTTGGGATTCGACTATCCAGGTATTTGGATGCACGTTGATATGGCTACTCCTGTTCATTGTGTAAGTAGTACAGAGTGGAAAATGATAGTTATTTTAAATTTTATTAATATCCCAGCCCGTTTAAGTCCATTCAAACAGGACGTTGTTGCCATCCGCCAATGAAATTTCGATTTAACTTTAGCTGGCAAAAAATTTGGAACGAATATCAAAGGACGAGAAATATTATTACTTTAATGTTTTTTTTTCGCGTTTTTTTTTATTTATTTTTAGGGTGAACGTGCCACTGGTTATGGTGTAGCATTGTTGCTTACCTTGTTCGGTAACCACACCAATTGCAAAATGTTGCAATCGATTGCATGCAGCGACTCTGAACCACCATCGAAGCGCATTTGTCGCGACTAAAACAGAATGACTGAGACACTGCCATTGTGCGGCCATTATCGTTTCCCAGAACACTCTTCAACGTTATTAGTTTTCGTTTATTATTGATTTTAATATTGTTCATTTTCAAAATAATAATTTCGAGTAACATTAAATGTAATCCGTAATACGTTTCATTTGTATTATCCTAAATATAAAATACTTAAACCTTTTTTTGTGAAAATAAATGAAATAAATGAATTTAAAAAATAATAACAATTTGAATAGAATTTATTGAATAGAAATGAAATATTTAACTATGAATTTTGGGATTTTTTTTGGATATGGAAAATATACCAAACGGGATAAGCTTGAGCGATTCTTACAACATGTATAAAACGAACTATGCGAAGTGTTCCCTCAGGCCCCAATAAATTTGAATCGCTATCTCTACTTTTATAACGAACTACGAAAATTCTGATAGTTTTAAATATGTTATAACTTAGAATCTATTTGTTCCGTGATATTTCTTCAATTTAATTACAAATGTATAATGAATTCTTTGTTGGCTAATTATTTACATACTAAATCTATAGAAACGCCATAAAGTTGAACAGTTCGACAAATTTTCCTGCTCCTCCTATAACGAGCTAAATTGGCCCGTCTCATTGAGGTCGACTGTACTAGAAATTACAAACACTTAAAAAATATACATGTTGACTTTAATAGTTGCAGTTAATGTACCGTTTAGACAATTGAGTAGTAACAAAGAAAAATATAACATACAAATTCACGTGCAACGACGTTTGCGAAACGGTCCTACTGATTATTTTAATAAAATGTTAAATTTACATTTGTACATCTATTTGTTATTGCTGTAACTGGAAGGGGAGGAGACTTGCCCAACGACATTGTACTAGGCGGTGGTAACTACAATATGGTTAAATGAAATAAAGCTACCCCTTTCAAACAATTAACCAGTAAGGAAAGTAGTAAAGTCGGACGGGGCATTTTTAAAGGACCAGCAAAATGAAATTGGATCTATAAACATATCTTTCTGCAACCTATACTAATTTCTTGCATTTGGTCAGATAAAGAAGCTATTTCTAAATCTGAACCGATTTCAACGATTGCAGGAAATTTAGCACACATCATCCTAGGCCTAATTCATTACGCTGTGCCAAATTTCGTGCAAACCGAAAGATTTTAAGGGACTTTGGTACACCATTTACATAAATCGGACGAAAATATATATGGGAGCTGTATCTAAATCTGAACCGATTTTCACCAAACTCAGCACACATCATTCTGCGCTCTTCCAAATTTCGTGCAAATCGAATGATATATAGGGACTTTGGTGGACCATTTACATAAAATCGGACGAAAATATATAGGGGAGCTATATCTAAATCTGAACCGATTTTCAGGAAACTTAACACACATCATTCTATACTTTATTCATTACGCTGTGCCAATTTTCGCAAATCGAAAGATATATAACGACTTTGGTGCACCATTTACCTAAAATCGGACGAAACTCTATATGGGAGCTATATCTAAATCTCAAGCGATTTTCATGAAACTCAGCACACATCATTCTAGGCCTAATTCATTACGCTGTGCCAAAATTAAATCGGACGAAAATATATATGGGAGCTATATCTAAATCTGAACCGATTTTTCCCAATTTCAATAGGGTTCGTCCTTGGGCCAAGTAAGTGACCTGTGCCAAATTTCATCAAAATCGGATCTTAAATGCGACCTGTACTTTGTTCACAAAAATACATGGACGGACGGACAGACAGATGGACATGCGTAAATCGACTGAGAAAGTAATTCTATGCATATTATCAAAAGGAACCATGTGTCTATCTCGTTTCCTTTTGCCTGTTACAAACATATGCACAGAGACATAATACCCTGTACCACAGTGTGGTGAAGGGTATAAAAATAGAATAAAAAAAATTATGCCCATTAAGGATGGAGACTGTATTTAGAATTTTAATGAAATATATACAAAAAAGGTTATTTAGTTAAGTTGTTCGCAAAATATTAATGAAGCTTCTAAATACAGAAATTCTAATGCCGAACCCTTATGATAAATTACAGCTGATTAATTCGAAATGCGGAAGAAACCGAAAAATATCCCGAAACATCTTTAAAGGCAATTTAGCGTGCACCCAAAGAACAAATGTGGCTACCTGCTTAAGAAATTTACAAGATTTTACATTTTTGATCCTTTGTGGTGGGTTCCATTTTTTGAACATCTAAGTCACTTTATATTGGATTTACAAAATTCCAAAATAATGACGCGTTGTCGGTGAGGTTCCAGACGAATTAGACCGATGGGTCTCATCTTGGCACATATAGAACAAGTTTGGCATCCATCCATTTCCATAATGTATTTAAAATTTTTCAAAATTGTTACACTTTGTGTAGGGAGAAACATTACAATGTGCAAAGTTTGGATGAAATTGCTTCTAAGCATTAGATGATTGATGTTTGGAAGACATATTACGAGGAGCAAAATATGTATGAAATCGATTACTGCCTTCGTGCGCACCAACCAGCCAGACAGTGGATGAACCCAAATTATGTGAAACGGATTCGGACGGATGTAAAGAAAGAACCCGTAGCAAAGGGTATAAAAATTGTAAATCTTTTCAATATAAATGAAAATCAAATTTTTATCGCATCTGTGATGACGTTTAGTTGTGAAATAAAAAAAATACAAGGAAATGTTTTGATTGTAAAGTTGTATATATTTTTTTAAATGTAAAAAAGCAAAAACGTGGTTCGGTTCGATCGGAACGAACTTTGTATACCCTCTAGCATGTCTAATCGGTCGGGACCGTAATATTCTCTGAAAAGGTTAAATACCGATTTACAGACATTCAGTGACATTTATATGAAATTTTCGGGTTTTTAGAAGGGGGCTCAGAAGATCTTAGTTGTATGCTGTAGCAATAATTTAAAAGGCTTGAAAACTATACAGTATTTTCAACATGAGTCCACATGCATTCCAATTTCTGAATATCCTCTACCATTTACGACGGAAGTTGAAAAACTTGCAAAAATGATCGATTTGTCATTATTTTACCACATCTTCGAATATCTTTGTAATTGACACTGAATGTGAATTTCTCAATGCATTTTCTTGCCATTAAAAAGAAAACAATAATTTCTTCAATTTCAATAGTTTCTCGTCATAAAATTTACATATTTTCATGTTGAGATTTACCAAAGAATAAAAAAAATTTCGAACGCTATGATTTTACTTCCTCTTAACTCCTGAAGTTATTATTCGAATCGTTTTCCTATTATTTTCGGTTGTTTTGTTCATTCGTTGTATGAGTATTGGGAGGTGGTGGTGGAACTTTTGCAATTATGATTTCGGGATCTCTGGTGTTATTCAGGGCACAATGCCGTCATCCATACTGGCTGGCTGGGGGCTAACTAGGTGGCTGGTATTTATGTAAGCATTTCGAACTTACAGATTGGCAAGAGTATTTATTCAGTGATGCCGCTAAATGCAGTTTTTGTCGTTACCGCCTCCTTGCCTTGACTTGCTTTGCCGAGCAAAAGTTTTAATTATTTTGTTTTTGCTGTTTTGTTTGTCTCCAACAGCTGCGGAGCAGAGGAATCGCAGTAATAGTTGTATCTTCCATCAGCAGCTTGTTTACACTCTCGGTTTAATTTTTCGTTTCGTGATTTTCCCTTATTAAAATTTACAAATGATTTGGTTTTTGTGGTGGCATTATTTGTTGAACTTTTTATCGAGTTGCTTAGGCATTTCACCCTACCTACAGTTATTCGTAAATAGTCAATGAGTTAAACAATATTGCTAAGGGTTTTAATGGGAATATTCATAAGGGAATATATATATATATATACAACTCCACAACTGATTCGAAGTCAGGACATTTTCTCAAAATGTGTACCAAAAGTCATTGATGTAGTACAAAAAAGTTGTTTTTAATGGAATATTAAAAAATATTAAAAAAATTGCCCAAATATGTATATTTGTATAGCTATAGTTGTAATAGTCAAAATAAAAAACTCTATAAATTAGAAAGGTTTGAAAATTATTAGTGATTTGTGGAACAGAAATTGTTCATTTGATTTTAAATGGAATTTCATCAATGTTCGATAACTATTTTGCTGACACCCACACATGTACATGCATACACATACAATGATGATAACAGTTTGGCCTATGAATATTGCTTATATACTAGCTAACAAGTAAAATTTATTTTTGAGTTTTTTTCGAAATTCGGAATTCTTTCTGATTCCAAACAAAAAATTCCACGGAAACATTCGAGTTATCACATGAATTCAGAAGAACCATTTTGGGATATTCGGAGGGAAATTTCGATTCCAATTATATTTTTAATTATAATGGCCATGACATACAGAAGGTAGTCTCATTTGAGAATTTTATGATGGCAATCCTTTTTAATTTGGAAATCATCTATCAATTTGAAATAATATGAAAAATTGATTCCTTAAATTTTCAGGGTCGTACCTAAATTCATGCGTATGCGTACGAATTTATTCACCTCAAAAGTTAAATACATGTATTTCAACGAATGTTACCCAAATACGCATTGCGTATCAAAATTGAAAGTTGAAATTTTTCAACATTGACAATGCGTATTTTGAATTTTTTGTTTTTTGAAAATAGAATTTCAGACATTGAAAAATTTGTGTTTCTATAAAAAATAAACATTTTTCGATCTATTAAAAAATTTTTTGGCACAGATGCAAATAAGGTCCTTGCGTATTTGGGTAATACGGACGTCTAACAAACCCTATAAAGGTGAGAAGGTGAGTATTTATGTACGGAGCGCAATAAATTAGGTACGACCCTCAAGAGAAATAAAAATATTATCGGAAAATATGTTATTTATTTTTGTTTTGAACAATATTGTTTACATAAATAAACGTTTGGTAATATGTAAAATAATTCATTCGCTGTTTATATTACAGTAACATTTACTCAGTAAAGTAAACAGACAACATTTAGTAAGATTCAGAAA